ATTAAGGTAATGGTCATTACAAAACTGCCCCAACAATAACGGACGCGCGACCCGCGTGCCTTTCCGAGGGCCGACCCGGGCCTGCGGTAACTTGAACGCTGACTGGTGACCTCCGTGGGCTGAAAACACTTACAATCTGAGGGCCAACGAGCCTGGGGCGGGCCATAAATCGGCACTCAGAACCGCAACTGCAGGAGGCAATCATAGGACAAATCTCAGTTATGAGTTCAGGATTCGACGCAGAGCCGGCGCCGTGCTACGTCCATGTCAATGGCTTCTTTACCCAATCGCAGAAACGTAGTGCATGCGGTATTTCAGCGGCTTGCGACATACGGGCACGACATAGTAGGAAAGACAACACAATAAGCCTTCATGACGACTCAGCAGCCCGCTTCCGCCTGACGTCGCGCTCCTCGGCAATCGTAAGCTTGGTACCCTTGCCTTTAGGAAGTGAGACCCAAGGCTTTGCTCCCTCACCAATGAGAAAGATGTTGGTTATCCTGATTAAGCATCGGAATATGAGCTAGCTGTCGTGGCGACGCAATAATCCCACCCACCGTGTCGCGAAAGTACGATCCAATGCATCCTTCACGTGCACAATGTCAAAGTCACCAATGTGCTTCTCACGGTGCACGATAACACCCGCACGACCCATGTTACGACCGCCAGTGATCATAACGAGGTTTCCCGTATCAAACTTAACGATGCCGGTGATCTTGTTTTGGGTGAGATCGAATCTGACGGTGTCATTGACCTTGACGTTAGGATCAGGATAACGAATTGTACGACCGTCGTGGGTGACAATGTAGGGGACGCCTCTGTTGCCGAGAGCAACCTTCTTCACCTTGAGGAGCTTGTAGACCGCCTCCTCAGGGGAGATCCGGTGGATAACAAAGCGGCCTTTGACATCGTACAATAGGCGGAAGTGCTCGCCCGACTTCTCGATGGAGAGCACATCTACCAAGAAATAAGGTCACTGAGTAGGATATGATGATTGATCGTCGTACCCATGAAACCTGTAGGATACGTATTATCAGTGCGGACCTTGTTGTCCACCTTGATCAAGCGTTGCTGAACGATCGAGGTAACTTCGCGACCAGTCAAGGCATACTTCAGCCTGTTGCGGAGGAAAATGGAAAGAGGAAGTGACTCCCGGAGTTTGTGGGGACCGGGAGAGGGACGAGGAGCCTAGAAACACGTAGGACGAGGAGGGAACAAGAGGTAGTACGGAACGCACGTATGTACCGCTCAGTTTGTCGAGCATCCATGAGGAGGGCGCAGCGAGGCGCTTGAGATGCTTTCTGGGTCCACGTACCTGCAAAGCGGAAAGATTAGCATCATACAGTAAGACGACGAACCGGTCACTCGTTGTAGGGGGAGATCGTCATCCAAACTCAATAGAACACATCCATCCTTCTCATAGTCCATCCACCGGCTCATTGATCCCCACCTCTCCCAAACGAGGCACGATAGGATAGCTGGAGCACAGACTGACCATGATTAATGTCTTTAGGAGTGGAACGTTGTCGACGACGACGACGTTTTGATTTTTCTTGCAACAGTGGCGTTGTGCCCCAGCACCAAAGTTTGCATGTTGGTAAGACTCCGCTTTAGGGCAGCCCCCACTGTGCACGTGACCAGCTCCTTCATGATCACGATCTGGCTGGTCCAGTACATACAACAGACGATAATCCTTTCTGCACTAGTGCGACACAAGCTCGAATTACAATGATCAGTTGGTGCCCTTCGTAGCCCGCAGGACCATATTCTCCAGTGGAATGGCCCGGTACTCCCCCTCCTCGTCAGCTGCCCACACCGCATCATCGAGAACATATACAAGAATTCCACCCTTTCCATCCGCAGTTGGCGAGACACGGAACAGCGGCATGCGTGAGCGCTCATGAACGCGGCCGGCAGGCAGGAACATGAGATTATGTCTCGCCGCAAAGTCCTCCACAATCGAACGGAATGTAATCTCCTCCACACGCGCGGGCGGTTTCTTCGTCGTCGCTCCCTTCGCAGCCGCGGTAGGCGTGGGTGTTGGTGAGCGGTGGCGGTGGCGTTCCGGGCGTGGGAGCTTCGTAGGCGCGTCGGGTCCGAGCTCAATAGCCATGTTCATCAGCTGCAATCCGCGCGTAAAGCCGTCGCGTACAGCCTGGAGCGCCAGGATGTCCTCGGAGAATACGCCCTTCCAAAAGGCGTACCACTGCGCCACCTCGTCAAAGTTCGGGCGCGGCTGTATGAGCCAGATGTGTAACACGTCGAGCCACTTCGGGAAGAACTCGGCTGTGAGCAGTGACGCGAGGATGGAGCTGCGTAACAGGGGCGCCCAGGCGAGCACTCGTTCGAGCAGAGCCATATCTTGGGAGCGGGGGTTCACGCGGAACTCATCACGCAGTGCAGCGCCAAGCTTGGGAACGATGTATTTGAGCATCATTGTATCCCAATCGCCTACGCTGAAGACCTCGGGCCACGCAGCAAGATCGTGAGGGACACCTTCCGTGATATCCCATCCGCGGAGGAGGGACTTGAGTTTGCGCCGTGCATCACCCAAAAACTCCTCCATGCGTAAACCGACGTGTGGCAACCACGGAAATACCAGCGTCTTCAGAGGGACATCTGATCGGCGTGGACTCCAGTCAGCCACGGCTCTGGAAACCTTCGGAAGGATGAGTTGGTCGAGAAAGTTGTCGCGGATAAAGGGCGGGAGAAAAGTCGACCATGCCTCGTATAGGCTCACAGCTGGCTGGGGCGTGCGGGGGTCCCAGTCGTTGTTGATGGACGAGCGGACTCTTGGCAACCACACATTCCATAGTAGGCTTTCGAACGGAGTCATGGGTGCATCCACCTTTGTCGGGGGCACCGGGAATGCGCTGGCTCCATACAAACCCACCCGGGTATCTGGGGGGCGCTTCTCGTGGTCTGTCAGTTTTAGGGCTTGTCTCCAAAGCCGAAACGTCGAAAGTAGTTTGTCGGGTTCTTCCAGCGGGTTCCAACGCGAGAGCATCCGTCGCACCTGTTAAGGTAGTGAGCACCTATAAGGCATTCCAATGACAATCGAACATACTATTGGTGTAATGGCTGCCACTACGACTTCGTCAAGTCTATACCTATCAAACTCTGAGGAGAACTGGGACAGAAGCTTGTGGAAATGTGGTGAGAACGGTTCTAGCGAAGCTTCGTAATCTGATGCCTGCTGCCTAGCTAACGACTGTATATCATCAACCACAAGGTGGACTTGCTGGAGGCGAGCGATGACTTAATGTGTCCGTCAGCGTTCGTGCAAGGCTGATTAGACAGAAGGACGTACTTTCTGCCTCCTCACCGACTTTCTTCTTCAGCCTAGCCTCCTCATCTTGGAGAGTCTTTCTTCGCCTCTGAATCTCCTTAGCCTCACGGGCGAGGCCTTCTAGGTCTCTTGTGGTAGCTTCGACAATGAGTCTTATGTTATGTCGCACTTCCGGTATACGAGTAGAGTCCGTAGAGGGCGTCCATGAGGCCATAGACACGTCCGCTAAAGAGGAGACTTCACGCGGCTAGGAAGATGACAATCAGCCACCTTCAGAGTACGAGCATGAAGGGCATACCGTTGCGCCAGTAGCATCAATAATAACTCCAAGTCCAGAGGGCCCAGCAGCATCCTCCCCAACCTCAGCAACAATCTGCTCGTAAGTCTTATGCTCGATTTTGGTCTTTATCTTCTTTGGTTTCTTCCACGCATCTGATTTTTTGCCCGCTTTCTCTTTGCCCTTTGTTACTTTCTTTTTGGGTCCTTCGTCCTCGTCGTCGCTGACAACTTCCCCGCGGCGACGCGCCTCCGCTTTCGATTGTTCTGTGCGCTCGCCGAAGCCTCTGAAGGCGATACCCATGTTCTTCGGACGTACTTTTGTCTCGATCGGGACGACGATGCCCTGGCTGTCTGTGCCAAGACCAGTGCCCGCCTCCCAGCCCATCTTTGCGAGCATGCGCGCCCCGAAGCTGCTCTCGAGTTTACGGAAGTGTGCGCTCTCAACACCAGAGAGGCTAGGCTTGGAAGGAGGGGGGGCGGAGGGTGTGCCATTCCTAACGAATGCGCGCCGTGGGCGCGAGCCCCCGCCGAACGCAGAAGGAAGACTGTTAGGGATGGAGGTGTCCTCGGACGCTGGCGGGGCGGTGATGGTGAGGGTGCAGGGGAAGGCGTTGGAGGGATGGAGACTGCAGCGGGGCGCGAGGCACCGATTCCGCCCCTTGTGAAGCCGGAGAACGTGGTTGGAGAATGTGACTTGGATGCGCCGAGGCCAAGACCACCGAAGCGTGGCCGCTGCTCTTCTTCCTCATCAACCTCATCCCTGACCCGCGGCGAGGGCGCCCTTGAGGGCTCCATATCTTCCTCGTCTTCTTCGCCACCATCTTCATCGTCGTCATCTGCACCGTCAGCGCCATCAGCGTCAGCACCTCCTGGTCACCCTCATCCTCATCTTCGACACTGTCGCCCGAGGATTCGGAGCCTGCGTCATGGCGAGCCACAACCTCTGGTATATCCATGACTTCGGACTGTTCGACATTGGTGGGTTTGGTACCCGCCGTTTTGCTAGATATGAAAGCCGGTGCTTTAGCCCAGTCGTGTCGCTGGGCAGGCTTGCGCCTGCCTCCGAAGCCCTCATCCTCGCTGTCCTCGTCACCGGTTGTGCGCCGCCTCTTCCGCTGGTAAGGATCGTCGTCATCAGCGATTTCATCATCCGAACCGCCTGAGGAGTCCGAGATACCATCTTCCATGAAACCGCGTTTTCTGCGAGCCATGGTGGGTAGGAGTCAAGAGGAGAGGTGCACGCAGCGTCTGAGTCACGAAGCCAAGCGATTCACGACCACAAACTACAGAGAAGAAAAGGAAACGGATGAGGAATAACAACGAAAAATAAAAATAAAACCTTGAAAGTCAACAGAAAAACACGCACACCTTCGTGTAAAAGTATGGCACGGACGAGGGTAGAGGTAGTGAAGAGAAGAAGGAAGAAAACGAAGGGCCTGGCCGGGAATTGAACCCGGGACCTCCTCCAAATGACTGTATGCCCTAAGAAGGAATCATACTACTAGACCACCAGGCCTGTAATTACGGTTCAGCACGGGGTATCCATGTGACGTGCCCGTCCCTACAAATTGGGAAGCTGACGCGTCCAGAGACGCGTGTATGCGTGTGTGGGGTGCATACATCTTTTGCGTCTGTTCAGCTTGCTTTCAGAAGCTATGGATGCGACACCTTCAAGATCACCAATGCCAATGGACCCGCGAAGAGTGGAGGCCCTTAAGGCCTACCGTGAGGTTAGAGAGAGGTCTTTAGTATTGCTTCGAAGGTCTACTAACGCGAGCTCTCAGAAAATGCGGGCACATGAGAGCATGAGCGAGGCCTTGAAGAACCGTACGTCTTGTACAAATTCTTGACCGTGTTTTCTTTCTCAAAAGATGGGCAGTGCGATTTTCTATCAAGGATTTGCAAAAAGACTACAGGAAGACTGAGGAGGACATCAAGGCCGTGCAGTCAGTAGGTCAGATCATTGGGGAAGTCATGAAGCAGCTAGACGATGAGCGCTGTGCGTGTAGTCCATCTCAACCTCACCCTACACCCACTAATTCTCACTGTTAGTCATCGTGAAAGCTTCTTCAGGACCACGATATGTCGTCTCGTACCGTCCCGCCCTCCCTGCACATAAACTCAAGGCCGGGACACGCGTCAGCCTCGACATGACCACCCTCACTATCATGCGCATCCTCCCACGAGAAGTAGACCCTATGGTGTACAAGATGAGCCTCGAGGACCCAGGGAGTGCCTCCTTCGCGGGCATTGGCGGCCTCAGCGAGCAAGTGCGCGAGTTGCGCGAGGTGCGTCTGCGCTGATTCTGCCCAACCACCCGCGCGATTATTTACACGGCATCCCCCAGATCATCGAGCTCCCTCTTCTCAATCCCGAGCTCTTCCAGCGCGTCGGCATCACTCCCCCAAAAGGCGTGCTTCTCTATGGCCCGCCCGGGACGGGCAAGACGCTGCTAGCCCGTGCGGTCGCGGCGACGCTCGACACCAACTTCCTCAAGGTCGTCTCCTCCGCCATCGTCGACAAGTACATCGGCGAGTCTGCACGCGTAGTGCGCGAGATGTTCGGTTATGCGCGCGATCACGAGCCCTGCGTCATCTTCATGGACGAGATCGACGCCATCGGCGGACGACGGTTCTCCGAGGGCACCAGCGCGGATCGCGAGATCCAGCGCACGTTGATGGAGGTCCGTCTCACCTCCCCTAGACAGACGGACCACGGAGTGGACTGACCGACGCATTTATTAACCCCTCCCACGTGTGCACGCACGTACGCACACGACAGCTATTGAACCAGATGGACGGCTTTGACTCGCTCGGGCGCACAAAGCTCATCATGGCGACCAACCGACCGGACACGCTCGATCCCGCGCTGATGCGCCCCGGTCGCCTCGACCGCAAGATCGAGGTGCCACTTCCGAACGAACAGGCGCGACTCGAGATTCTGAAGATCCACGCTGGACCGGTGAACAAGCACGGCGATATCGACTATGAGGCTATCGTCAAGGTGCGTCTGCTCCCTTCCCCCCCCCCTCTCTAACGCCCTACTGATGTACTGTGCTGTAAGTTGTCGGACGGGTTCAACGGGGCAGATTTGCGGAACGTCGTGACGGAAGCGGGTATGTTCGCCATCCGAGACGACCGGTGCGCCCCCACTCTCCTACCACTTGGATAGGTTCTTCCTCTCATCCTTCTCCCTGCAGGGAATACATCCAGCAGGAGGACCTTACAAAGGCGGCGAGGAAGGTAGGCGAGGCGAAAAAGCACGAGAGTGAGCGCACTTATCAAGCTGTTTTGTCTGGCGAACCGGTTCTGACTTCCCATCACCACAGCCAAGCTCGATGTATCAGCATAGTAGACACCTATTCCCTATTTTCTTTTTTGTTTTCGTCACTCTTTTACTTTCTCGCACTGTAACACGCGATTTAATCCCACTGCGCCGCCCTCGTCAGAACAAGAGAGTAGCGCCAACACTCAATACGCGCACGCACAAGGTAAAAGAGGCGGATCCATCACAAAAGTGCCATAATATAATAACATGTAGGTTGGTATGTACGTATATTCTGCCCAGCCCAACGGGGGGGCTCAGAACCCCAAAAACCGCTTCTTTCTCTCCTTGTCCTTGCCCCCTTTCTCCCTCCCGTTCGTCGACCCCGGCGCGTACGACGATAGCGTGCTGCCCGTCAACGACGACTCCGGGTTCGGCCGCCCCACGCTGTGCGCGCTCGTGCTCTTACCCAACGCCGGCGCCCGCTGCGGCTGTGGCGGGGCCGCGTCGCGCGTAAAGTACCGCTCGTCGTAGAATGCCTGGTACGGCCGCGCGCCACGCAGCTCTCTGAGTCCATTCGGCGCGGCGCGCGAGCCGACGCCGCTGAGGTCCAGCACTTTGAGGTCGTCGGCGAACTGGCGCGGCGTCAGCGTATGCGTCGAACCTGGCATTGCAAACAACAACAACAACAACAGGCCCGGCCGTCGCCGCGTTTCGTTCGTCAGCCTCCATCAGACCCGCGGGGCAAATAAAAATTAAAAAAAATCCGCTGGATCACACGCACCAATGAAGATGTCCTTCCCCAGCTGGCTCGAGAGGAGGTACGCCTCGCGCATCTCGGAGTACGTCATCCCGCCCGCGACGAACACGAGCAGCCGCTGGCGCGTTTCGGTCGTGGTGCCGCCCGCACGGGCCGCACGGTGCCAGCTTGGTTTTGCGCTCCGCAGCGAGGTTGTCGGTGTTTGCGTTGGGGTCGCACTGGATGCGGCGGGGGTGGTTTGGGGGTAGTCCTTGACGTACGGGAAAGCAGCAGGATCGAGCTTGCCGGAGACTTGGTCCTGCCACCATCCGCGCATGAGCGGCCAGAGGTGAAGGATAGGGACGGGCATACCTCGATGACGGTGCGGAGAAGAGGTTTGTATCGAGAGAGCTCGTACTCCTCTTCGTTCGACCGTTTTTGCTTGATGCGTCGCTTGAGGTCTTTGTCTCCCGGTCCCTGCGGCACACGTACACATAGTAAGCGCTTGGGCAAAGGATCATTGTAGAATTCTAATGTGCACCCTATTGATTCGCACGCCCAAATGCACGAGCGCATTTACGGCGTCCATCTCGGACCGCGTCAATCGCGCGTGCTGGTACAGCCGCCGTCGGTCCTCGTCTGGGACGCCTTCTCGGTATTGAATGTATAATGCGATGATGCGGACCTTGTTTGAGTTGCTGCCGGAGACGTGATCAGAAATTTAGACGTCGCCAGCCGGGCACGAATAGATCTACGACGTACATGACATCCCGGCTATCCAACAGCGGCACCATCTCCTCGACTAAGGTCTTCGGTGTTTTCCCTTCTGCAGTCAACCCTGTCGAACAGTTCTAAATTGGGTTGTGAAAAATAGGCCGGCGTGAGCTCCCATTCAAGAGACCTACTTGCTCGACTGTCGCTACCACCGGTAACTTGTCGTGCTCGAAAATATCCATGCATTCCTGTGCCATACTCAGATGTAGCGAAAACTAAAGGTCGAGGAGTTTTGAGGTCAGAGCGATGAACGATGCGCATGTAATCGGTCCACGCACCTTTTCCCTCTGCTCTTGATATTGGGGTAGGCTGGCCAGCATATCCTTCATATCGTTGAGCGTAGCAGCACCCTCCCTGTACAAACGTCGATAATCGGTACCCTCTCAATCGCGGACAGTGCCGAGCGCACCCCTTGAACCCCGCATTATCCGTCATAAACTTGTTGAAGTCCGCCATGAGCTTGTCGATAGCTTCTCGCATGTGCATGTGCCGTACGTCGGTCCATACCGTGTCTGCGTCCGACAGTACAGCCGTCTTGTCCTCGTAAGCGCCGACCGAAGACTGGAACTTGTACCTGGATAACACTAGATACGACGAGAAGAAGCGTACAGGGTGCAGGGACACGTACGTGTATTTGGATCCGTCCTCGATGGGGAGAAGATCGTTCGCCATCGCTTGATAGGTGAACTCGTGAATAAACGGCGCGATGGCGTCCATCGCTCGATCCGTGACAATCAGCGTCGCGCGCTGCCTCGGCGGGTCCTGTTTCTATTCTCGCACGACCCGTCAAAAACGGTCCATGTCGCGCACAGACGACAATGAATTCCAACGCACCACCGGAAAATCGGGATTCGTGCGCTTGTACTCGTCTAGCGCCGACTGGACCTCCCACGCCAGCATGCGCGACAACACCTCTGACTCTGCTGCCTCATATTGGCGCGACTGCTCGCCACGTGCAAGGTTCGTGCGCCAGCGCATCGAGGATTCTGCTGGGCGCGGCGCGGCCCGGGTGCTCTCGTGCGGGCGTAGCGCACCGAGGGGGCCGTGGTGTGCGGGAACGTAGTATCGGATATAAGGGAATTCGTTCAATGTAATGCACACGTTTGCGATCTTGGCGTCGCCACGTGGGGCAGAGGGATAAAGTTAAAAAAAAAAAGGGGGGGGGGGGGGGGTCAAGGAACAGACGTACGGATTTGGCAACAAAGCGGATGTCCTCTTCTAGTCGGTCGCGCTCGGCGCGTGCAGTAGCGTCCGATCGCACCGGGCTGTACATGCTGAAGAAGTGCTCAGGCACACGTAATGAAAAGGCCTGCGCCTCGATCGCTAAAGCGATGCTCAGTCGGTCAGTTCAAGGCTATGCGTGGGGGGAAGATCAGACGTACCCCCAAAGTTGACGTAGAGATCCTGCAGGCCGCGAAGGAACGGCTCTGCAGGCGAAGAGGTGAGCCGCTGGAAGAGTTCGTCTGCCAAGCCTGTGCGATGGTGTTCCGAGGGGCGTCAGAGAGCGGTGGAGAAGAAGGGTAGAGGACGGGCGGACCATCTATGAAGAAGAGGTGCGCGCCAGCATACTGCTGTCGCCCAGCGGAGAAATCGCGGATGATGCGGTCGACGTTGGCAGAAGTAGGCATGACCATGTACACCGCATCGAAGCCCTGTTGTGACTCGCGGTTGCTCGTTATGGATTCGATGACTGGTGCTGGAGTTTAAGCAGAGACAGCAAGGGACCTCCACGAGTGAGA